TCTTGACTGGTGAAGAAAACGTTTCTGGCGTAAAGGAGAGGAGATTAAGGGGAAAATAAATATGATTTAATCATACTAAAATAATAATTGAATCAAAAGGCACATTAAGGAGAGTTGTTTGGGCCGGTCAAAAAGGTCTTCAATGCTAGATGAAACCTTACCAAAATTAATATCAAGGGTTTTGAAATTCAAAGCAAAACTTGGGGACAAAGACACAATCAAAAGCCGAGTTTAGCTTTTTTTTTTTTCCAAAACGACAGAGATAACTATATTAATAAAAACGAACACCGTTCGAATACAAACCAAACAACAGCAAAAATACAAACTGAGAGACGCACCAAAGGTGGTCTAAAGCCGCAACTAAAACCGAAACAACTACACTCGGAGAACTAACCAACTAACCAAAGATCTAAGGAAAACTAATCCGACCACTGCTAACAAAGTAGCCTAGCCACGAGAAAAATTCCCCAAATCATAACTGAAAGAACCAAAATACAAAGAACTAGAACAAACCAAATAAAAAGGAACTAAACAGCAGCAGCCGAAGCAGCAGAGAATGATAGCCAATCCGAAAGAGCTAGCTTGACAATCACCTGTTCTGGAAGCATAATCCTTTGAAAAATCCAGATGTTCCTGGCCTTCCATAGCCACCAGAGCATATAGGTTGTAAGTTGAATACGCGCTTCAGATACTTCAGAGTTGTCCAGCGAACATATTTGAAACCACCAATCAGAAAAAAAAAAACAGTTCTATCTCGAAGGCCATCCCATTGCACTGGACTTATCTCCCAGCACCTCATTGCTCTAGGGCAATTGAAGAAAATGTGTTCAGTATCTTCCTGCAGCTCCCCACATACTGAGCAGTTAAAATCCATCTGAACCCCTCGATGTATAAGGTTGACAGCATTAGGTAGAGTTTGAGACAAACACTTCCACAGAAAAAATTTCAGTTTCCCTGCCACTTTCAATTTCCAGAACCTGAATTTCACTCTCTTATTTACAGCAACCGCATTGCTGCTTTCTGGCAAGTCAGCTTGCAAGAGTTTAAGATTGGACATGTACTTATAGGTACTGGACACAGTAAAATAACCCTTCTTTTCTAACCCCCAATAAAGCCTGTCACTTCTATCAGCATTCAAAGAGGAAATACTCAATATAGCATTACAGTCATCAACATCAAAAACTTGCCTAATAAGCCACTCATTCCATCTGCTACTGTCATCATGTATCAAATCTTTGACCCAAATAAGGTGGTCTCTAGCAATAGGAATTAATACAGGAGCTGGTTTTGATAAATGAGGCACCCAGTTAAAATCAGCAATTCTTGTATTTAACCCATTCCTCACTTCAATTCTCATACATTTTGCAAATATTGGAAGAACATCCATCCAGCTATTCCACATCCAAGAGCCCCCTTGAACCTTTTTTGCATGAACAATAGAGCCGAGTTTAGCTAAAGGGCCGAATATGACAAGAAAATTTGGGCCAAAAATAAGTCTTAAGGTTCGAACAAAATGTTTCAAAAATGGATCGAAATGGATCGAAAACGGTTCTACGCGATTAAACCGAAAATTGCCGAATAATAAAAATTAAAATAAACCAGGTAATATTTATTTAATACATACATTATTTTAAAAATAATAATGATAATAATAATAATAATAATAATAATAATAATACAAATACACATTTAGGCAATTAATCACAATTAGACAAATAATAATATCTAGACATTCCATAATAATAATAATAATAATAATAATTCTCAAATAAACCACAAATAAATGGGGCATTACACCATTTGAATGCTCAATGTTTAAGTTAAACGTGTTGAGACTTATCTTGTTATCGACTCATGTCCAGACTCGCTTTTGTTTTGTGCCTTCTCTTTTCTTTTCTTCTCTCTTCTTTTCTTTTCTCTTTGTTCGGGACGAACAAAGGTCTTAGTGTGGGGGAGTTGTTTGTCCCATTTTTGGTCTTTATTCCATGTTTATTTTCTTTTTGTTTCCCTCATTTGTAGGGTTTTCGTAGTTTATTTGGTCCATTTCGTTCGTTTTGTGTTTTTATCTTTCGTTTATATTTTTGTATCTTTTTGCCATTTTTTGCTTCGTGTTTTTCTTTGTTTTTGTGTTTTCAGGAGATAGGTTGTACCGGTCGAGTTGGGACTGCTTGAGCCGAGACCGCAATATCGAGAATTTCCGTGGCCGAGCCCAGAAGACGACGAAGAGGACTGAAAACGGACAGAAACACGCTCCCAGAGTTTCTCGCGACTCGCGAGTTGAGTCGCGACTCGTGGGGAAAACTGAGGCTAAGGAGGATTTCCGAGGAACAAGTCGCGACTCGCGAAATGGAGTCGCGACTCGCGAGATGGGGTCGCGACTCGCGAGTTATGTCGCGACCAGCCCCACGAGTTTAACAATTTGAAGACGCGCGACTCGCGACCAAGACAAAGACCATCTCGCGACTCGCGACTTAACCGGCGCGAATTTCGAGGACGGGATTTTTAATGCTGATTTCGATCCTAGGGTTGATTATTCACTTTCCAGACTTTATTTTTACGTGCTTTCTCTAGAGAAACCTATTCCTTTCTTTCTTTTGCACTTTTGATCTGTTTTGGAGATTGAAAAACTCTTATTTTCTTCGCTTTGGATTTGGATTGTTCACTTGGATTTGACATTGGGATTCCCACTATTAATCGTAAGTTCTTTTTCTCAATTGCTTGTTGATGATGATGGCTTGGGTTAATTTGAATGTTGATGTTTAATTTCATATGAGTTGCTAAATCCATTCGCTAGGGGAAGGGGATGATTGATTAGGTTCGTTATAATTGAATGTTTTTTATTGTTCATGTCTATTCGAGTTGTGTGAATCATAGGGTTAGTAGATTGATCACCTTTCTAACCTAGATAATCAACGTGTAGAACCGAGAGGGGAGACGTTGGTAGAATTAGGCTCGTTTAGAATAGATTTGTTCGGATGCGTATAATCTATGTGTTGTTAGAATTGATAGTTGATCGTTTACATTCACTCTCTTGTTACGAAGAGTTATTGAGAGTGAACCTTTGAACGAGAAACGATTCAAGACCTTTAACCGAGCAATCGATTTTCGGTGATTGTGTAGAACCGAAAGCAATTATCCCTGATTCCCTAGCATTTTAATCATTCAGTAAATTCATTTGCAATTTTGCTTTCATTTCATATAGTTTAAATCAGTAGTTGATAGTTGAAACCCAAAAATATTGAAATAGAGTGTTTAGGAATTTTTATTCTCTTCTTCGTGACTGAATATACGCACAAGAATATCCGGCTAACCTTCCTTGCGATACGACCCGGGGACGAATCTTTCGATTCAACTCCGGTGAAAATACTGACAACACTAATGAATATATGCAATACTTGAGAGTCTCGACGAACCATTATTGCATCAAGATAGATAGCTTGTGGCTTTGAATCTTTGTTAGTGAAATACTATCGGATACACTAGCTGGTTAGTAACATGATGCTTTGAACTTACTGGTTGTTTGTGTGCACCAACAATAGTACTCACACAACAACAACTCTAACAATTTCTTGTTCTCACGTTGTGTCCATTTCGACCTTGGACCATATCTGTGTTTAGTAAGTGTTCGATTGAAGCGGCCTATTTACTTCTGACTTACAAAGGTGATTCTCCTATAAAGAGTATCCTGCCTTACTCCACCCTTAGGTATAGTAAAAGTCCTCGAGTTAACCTCACCACTTAGGTAGATTTTAACACTTGACGGTTCTAGAAATGAGCGAAAATTTTTCAGGTGTTTCACTGAACTGTCAAAACTTAGTTTTTACATTAAACCAAGGTATCGGGATCTACGATTCACATGGTTGGGTTACCGCTAAAACCATTCATTTGTTGTGGATTTTTGTCAAAACTTAGTTTTCCCATTAAACCAAGGTTTCGGCAACTGTTTAATGATGTTGAAAGTGCCAAAATCCTTAAAATCAAAAACCTCAACCCACACAGGAAGGACATGTGGATATGGAACAATGAAGACAAAGCTGATTTCTCAGTTGCCAAAGCTTATTCAAAAATGGTGGAAGATAAATTTAGGAAGCTAGATGTGGCAGAGGACAGCCTTTCAGCACAGACCTTGTGGAAGACTAGAACCAGAACATGGAAGCTCAAAATCAAGCACAAACTCAAGCACTTTCTATGGAAATGCTTCTCTGCAGCCTTACCTGTCAAATCTTTGCAAAGGAAAAGAGGCCTACTAGTGGATGACATATGTCAGTCCTGTGGAGAGCACATTGAGACAGTTGAGCATCTGTTTTTCCAATGCAGGAAAGCCATTGTAGTTTGGAAAGCTACATCTATTCACTAGGACATTGCTATTGATTGCTCAACCAAGTTCAGAACCTGGTGGCATGATGTTTGTTCTGTCAACAAGCTAGAAGTTTCTGAAGCTAGAATTGAGCTTACCACATACATCTTGTGGTGGCTCTGGAAAGCCAAAAACCTTTGGCTCTTCAAGAAAGAATGGTTGCCGGCACTGTCCATTGTTAAACTAGCAATGAGTGATTGGAAGGAGTTTTCCAGGAAGAATTGCAGATAGCCATTGTCAGGGGAGAAGCGTGTCTAGGTTCTTTATGTTTAGTGGACGCTTCTTCCTTTTGATTTCATCTGTCTATTGGTTTTTCATTCTAGTTTATTTATGTCTGTTAGGAAAGTTGGTATTCTGAGATGTTTGAGTTTTTGTGCTAAGTCGAAGTGCGGTTCTAAAGGTTACAGAGTGTGTTCTGGCCTTAGACATTAGACTGAGTGGTGTGTTGTTTTGATGGATTTAGTTGAGTTTCTAGAATATTCATGTGTGATGACTCTCTTGTACTAGGACCAGTTGGTCCTCGGGCTGTATTCTTGTATATTCAGTGATATATAATCATCTATCATTTCGAAAAAAAAAAAAAAAAAAAAAAAAAAAAAAAAAAAAAAAAAATACACACACACAAAATATCGAGGACAGACTAGATAAATCATGTGAACGAACTCCAACCTCAATGTCAGGGGCCTTTTGGGACATTCCGTAATCTTACTTCATTTGAGCCACAAAACAGTGTTTAGTTTCTCTCCAGATCCACTCTTCTTCGCAGGTAGCACAGAAAAGTCCAAATACAAAACTTTCGTTTCTTTGCCTATTTCTTTTAGTTGATGGCCGGCACGTGCTCCCCGCCGGCGCCTCACATGATCGGATACTCCGTGGTCGAGCTCTCTGGAGCTGGTTCTCGAACCGGTGCCCCGTTCTCAGTCCGTATCTCCTCCCGGTGCCGCGCCATAGCCGCCGCGCAGGATGGCCGTAGCCTTATGGAAGGACCCTCCTGCATCTTCGTCGGGCCCGTGGAGACTGCCAGTCAAGAGACGCTAGAAGCTCTCTATCGCCAAGTGAGAAACAATTACTATCTTGTCTCTCCACTTTCAACGACCGGTTGTACCCATCTCAAATTATTTATTTATAGATTTTGCACATAATTCTTTTAGGCTCGAGAGGCCTACTATAGCGGGGACCCTTTGATTGTTGATGACATGTTTGATAGAGTGGAAGTATGTTCTCTAAAGCTATACCTTTTTCTGGTCCTGTTATTTATTATGTGCTCCTCATTTTTCTGGTGTTTTAAATAAAGGGGACCGTGTTGTAACAGTTAAAATTGCGGTGGTATGGATCCAAATATGTCGTCAAGTATCCCCGTTGCAGTCTCAGGCGGCAATCAACCTATGCTGATGCTGAGGTAATTTTTCTCAATTATGTGCTTCTTTCTGTGTTTACATTCTGCTACCGGCGGCATTTCATTTATTTGGCATTGAAATACGGATAGATTGTGCTATGATGTAGTGTTATGGTGTTCATGCACGTCGATTCGTATTTTTTTTAGGATTTTTATAGCTTTGTTGGACACATTTTAGAAAACATCAATTAGCTTAATACGGGGTGATGAGGATAATTGAGTTATTCTATAAATTTATACATGAGTGTCCAGAAGCACTAAACCACTTTCTTTATTTCTCTAAATGTTGCTTCGGTTGAAATAAACAACAATCCTAATCCTCTTCCTATGGATACCTAGTGCTCTGACTTTTTAGCAAGAAATGAAGACTGAGAAAATCCTTTTTCATCCTCTTGAAATTTCGCTTCTGTTATAGGAGAGTGAAGCCAAACCATTAAAGTTCAATGCTGTGGGTGTATCTGAAAGGAACTAAAATGATTCAAATCCGGACATGAAATGCTTAGTTGCTTCAATCAGGGCAAAGGGGCATTGACTTTTTCATGAATTCCTTCAAATGAAGGCTCACAATTTTTTATTATTATTATTATTATTATTTTTCGCAATGCTGTCGATAATGGAAAATTTTGAATTTTACTTTTTTTCCAAAATACAGTAATAAATTGGCAAACCTTGCTCCCAATAACTAAATCACTTTATATTATAATTTGTCGTTAAATCTTTAAGTTGATCAGAGTTTCTTGAAAAATTATACATTCTCATGGGTGAGTATATTATGCTTGCAATCCCTATTGCTGTAGTGGCTCTCCGCCTTTAGAAGAGATTGGATTTTGAATTAGAGCAAGCATGTTGTTTTACTTACCATTTTGATTCAGTCTCTTATTCTAGTAAGCAACTAAGCTCTGGCACGGTCCGCAGCACTCTATTAGTGAAGTTTCTAGAAAAAAAAAATATATCAAACGGCGCAATGCAGCTTGGGTCGCTACGGAAACAACCTCCTTGTATAATTACAAGGGTAAGGTCTGCATACAACTGACCCCCCAGACCCCAACCTTTTGGGAATATACTGGGTATGTTGTTGTTGTTGTTGTTGTTGTATTAGTTAATTTATTGAGCAAAAGGAATGTGTTGACGCATTTGAATTACTAAGAAATAAATTATCCTTTTCAGGCACCAGGGTTTGTAAGACTTAAACCTGTCTAGAGCTAAATGTAAACACCATATGAATTAGTTGTTACGACACTATACCTGCTACTCGTTTCAACCTGTTTGTGTGAAATTATCCCACCTTATCCTGCATGCGAATACACTTATGAAGTTGTTAACCCAGAGAAATTTCCATGTATTTATAAAAGAATATCAATACAATTTCTAGATTGAATCATTGAAAAGAGTTTAGAATTTACTATGGAGCAAAGAAAACATCTTAATTACAAAGATGAAAGAAGCTCCTAAGAAGGTTAAAATTGCTTAAAACACTTAATGCTGGCATAGTTCAGAGCCCGTGGTTGTGGCTTCGCCTTTGCCAACTAGCCCTTGGTGGGATGGTTCCCTCCAATTATTGTTAACCTGCAGTTCAAGGTCAATTTACCATTTCCTTTTAGTTAAAAAACTATATGTACGCTTGCATATATTAGCCAAAAAAGGAAGTGAACAGGGAAAACGAAAAAAGAAAGTATGAGGTTTTTAGATATGAATGAGTAAATTAACCGGCCATTCCATGGATAGTCCAGGCATGTTTTTGGAGCCATTGATCACTGTCTAGTTAGACTAATCCACTAACCATGGTGAACGCAGACCGGTTGGACAGATCCAATTTGGAATTGTCTACTCTTGCATGGCTATATAATTCTTGCCCTACATTGCTGAATGGCTTTAATTATATGGTGTGAGCATATTTTATGGGGTGATGTTTCATCTAATCGGTCTTCGTCTAAGATTTTTTTTGAATGTCCTTAGTATATATAAATTCCAACACTTACATGTCTGGTACTTAGTATGTCTATTTGTCGATTTCTGGTGCTTCATAATCCTACGTGTCAAGTTATGGTGTTTTGGAGTAGTCCCTGTAGATTGTAGATTTAGACTTTTATCCTTGCCTATTAGAACTTTTAAAATTATAGAACACTTGATCAACTTATATTATAAATGTATTTTTAAAACTTAATAATTTTTTATTTGTTATCGATTTTTGATATATATATATATATATATATATATATATATCAAATTTACCATCTTTCAACGATCTTTGATTTAATATCCATATTGCATATATGTAAAAGTTTATATCCACCTTTATATTAAAAATTAAATAATCTAATATATCCTAAGGGTCCTTTTGGTTGCATTTGCTTATTGGGCCTGATAGTATCTTTAAAACTTTTCCCACTCTATTTGTCGACTGTCGGACACAGTCCTTCACAATACGTTGTTTGCTTGCACCTTTTATTGGGTGGATATAGGACCTACTTAATTAATAAAGTGTTCAGTTGCAACTGATCCGCGCCACTGCATCCTTTTTTCTCTTTTATCCCTTGGTAACCCCGAAAATTGAATTAACCCAGAATCATCCATAACAATATACCATTTTGTTTCTTTCTTTATTTCATTTAACCAAACACGAGTATTTACAAACTCAACAGAAAAAAATATAAATAGGGTGACCTGATGCAGATCTTCATGGATGGTACAATAGGAGGAAATACACGTATAAGATATATTACTGATCATAGAGAAAGCTAAAACTATTAGACCAAAAAAGGCAGTAAAAAAATAATACTAGCAATTGGGAGTGTAAATCAGAAGGAGATCAACAGTCTTGGCATCACCTACCACAACATAACAACCCTCCAACAGAAATAAACATCAAAATGACAATTCCTATATGAATTTTAAAACTGAATACATTGAAGACCAGTTAAAGAGTAAAGAGGCATGACATTGATATGGTGTTGATAAAAACATATATTTCCTGAACATTGAGAACATCGAGTCTTTCTGCATAATTTGCAAGTTCCAATTTTCCGAGTTCTATAATTTATTCTTATATTTGTTGTTGCATTCTGCTCCATCCAACTAACAAGCATATTTACTGCATTGTGCCCAACCTTTCAACAGTAAATTGAGTCTTCCTGCTCCAAACGTAGCAAAAAATCAATAATTATTGTGAAAAGTGACTTAAGAAGTGTGTTAGTCAAAATAATATTTACTGCTTTAGCCTTCAAGCATTACATTTCAAATAAGGTGTATTTTTGTTTGGCAGATTATTCTTGTGGGAAGAAAAAAGTTAGCCCATCTATCAAGATAATAAAACAAAACTTCATGATCATCATATCCTAAAACTAATGAAAATGCATGATTTATGTCCAAGTTTTGTCCTTAAAGCAGCATCAACACAAAATGAATATATGATGTCTTGAAAATACATTATTTAAGTCCAAGTTTTTCCTTTAAGCAGCATAAGCACACAATTAAATACATGTCAATTTTTGGAATAATAAACATTTAGTGAAGAACCACCCAGAACTTTCTATTTAATCCTACATCGACAAACGCTTAAAATATCAACCTACATTTTTTTAATAAGCATTCACATATTCGCTAAAAACCCAAAAGTATAATCAACAAACCGTAAACCAAACTACAGACCTACCAAACTCTTTAAACTACCACTCTTTCAATTTTTTGATATCGAAAAAAATAAGTGGATATCAAGCATAATAATATCAACCAAATGGACCCTACTTAGAAAATAATAAGTATTAATTAAATTCTCATATCAAGTTTATTATATAATATGAGTTAGAAAAAATATTGTAATATAAGATGAGCAAATCTTACAGATAATGAGAGACAATTTTAATAGAAAACAATATGTAAAAATTATTGAAAAATTCTATAAAAACTTATATTTTCTTTAGCTTTAAGATTTATTTTTTTTTCCCCAATTTACACCTGTGTAATACATGGGTGCTGTAGCACTAGTATCATTTATATGTTGCCACACTTGCCAGTCATGTTTAATCATTTGCCGTTCTCCCTCATACCTGTTAATATTATACTGTTGCTGCTTAAAACAAAGAATGAAAATGAGCGTGAGTCTCATCATATTTGGTTCCATTTATGGTCTTTGTGTCCGGGAAGGGAATAATTTGAGCTATATCTTTATGAAAGCAGCAAACTGCAATTTTTAAACTTATCTTAAGTTCAACTCCTAAAAGAAACAATATGAGCCAAGACATAAGATCTCTCTCAAAATGTCTTGTATTACTATTTGTACCTGGGGCTTGAGCAACAAGAAATTGTGCGATCTTACTTCTCATCACTGTGAAGAGTGGGCTGTGCATAAATTATGCCTTATAGCATATGTTATGTTTTATGTATTTGTAAATTATCTGTTAAAGGAAATATTTAGTAGCTTGATCCATATATAACGTATAAGATGCTTAAGTTGGAAAATTGATACAACATTGTCGAATAGCTCTTGACAGCATCTTATATCTGGCAAAGTGCGATATTTGAACTCTAAATCACATCATGAATTCTTAGTTAATTAAGTAGTTTCTGCAAAAACCATGTTACTTCATAAATACATAGTGGACAAGCCATCTTCTCTCTCCACTTGAATATCAAATAACATGTATGTAGGGCAGGAAGATCCTTCACAGGTTTTAGCCTTGGCGAGTGTATGGATTTTGATTCTTGCTTTTGGATCTTTGGCCTGCCTTGTGCCTATAATATACACCATCGCTCAATCTTATCAAGATGGTTTCAACTCGGGATTGCCTTACACTAATCAAGCTTCTGCACTAGAATCTCTTGCCACACTCAATGCTACGCTCTTCATGTTGTTTGGATCCTTGATTGGGTACCCAATTGCATCGGCCTCTGGTAATGAATTATGACATCTTCATCTGTGTTCATAAACCTTATTTTTTGAAGATTCTTCTCTCTTGTTTGTTTTTTTGTCTCTTTTGTATCCTTTCATATTGCATAATTCATATGTAGCTGTGATAAATTGTGGTTGGCCCCAAGTTGGTTTTAGATCTCTATGTGCTTAAATCATTTGAAAAATATTAGAATATTGTGAGTCATCTCATCAAAAACAAAAATTACGGGCTAACAGATATTGAACCATAATTGACAAGATACAGATCAACCAAGTAACTGAAAGCTCAATAAACAGAAGTTATCCTAGTTGATCACCATGGAAAATATCCCAAAATCTCCAAAACGTGAATTGTTCACAGATCTCAAAATCTCACATCTCATAATATTAATGTCTCGTGCTACATTTGATGTCCAATTCACGCTGAAGCTTTTGATGATCATTCAAAGTAGAAATGTTAGTCAGAGTGTCATCACTTGTTTCCTGTTGGAATAGATACTTTACTGGATGAAATTTCTGGGTGATAGTATATTACAGGTGTCTAAAGGTGGAAATATTACTTTATTTTACCTCAGTTTCATCTTTCACTTAATATCGAAGTTATACTTCGTAAGTGTTCTCTAATTTGGTAATGCTTGTCAGTTGGAGCACTTCAAGGACTCTGGAGGAATGACTTGGTGGCACTGAAAGGGGCATGCCCAAATTGTGGTGAGGAGGTAGTGCAAATGTACATTCGACTTTATTGTCAGTATTAACTTTATATCTAAATTGTTTACTGCCTGATACTCAAACCTGAGGCATCAAACATTTTATAGCTAGAAGGCCCATATTTTGCAGGTGTTTGCATTTGTTAGATCTGATCGTTCTACTCACTCGCCACATAGAGTGCAATGTCATGTATGTGAGAGCTCCTTGGAATTTCGGACAAAGGTTGAGGTACTCGAGTCTGCCCCAGTTTACATCTTTAAAACCTAATGTGAATTTTCTATAATAACTTGCCTGTTATTGTTCTCAGAAATGATTGTCAAAATTGTGTTGGCATATATCTAGAAATTTTGGGGATATCTTCTCTGTTTGAGATTGTTCGTAATGTTTTATCTTCAAATGCAATATAGAAATACAAAGCAAAAGACTGCTGCAATATAGAAAGTTCGACAGAGGAACAAAAATATTTCTGCCTGATAATGAGAAAGTGGACCTTGTTTGAAAGTCTGCAAGGAATCTGTTATTTATTTCATATGCCACTGATTATATCCATTGGGTTCCTATTCATTGTATAAATGTGTTTGTTTATGTGTGCTTTGTTGTATGATGACGACCACAATTCTATGGGATCAAACCTATGTGACTTGAGGAATGATAGAGATAAAAAGATATAAATCAATTAAAAATGGAATCAATAAAGAATGGGAAGAAATGTACGCCAAATAAAAATGAAGAAGAAAAACTCACGATTCTGAAAGGCACCATTTTTTAGTCTGCAAAGCTTGAAATTTTTTCCTTTTGGTTGTAAACTTGTTATGCCCTTGAGTTCTGCTCTCAGCAGCAGTTTTTTAAATGATTTTTTTTTTTTTTTTTNCCGGGCCCGACCCGGGTCTGACCCGGAAAAATTAAAAAAAAAAAAGAAGAAAAAATAGAAAAATTCAAAACAATCGATTTTTCCCGTGCCGAATCGGATCCGGCCCGGCCCGGCCCGCCGGGTCGGTGTCGAAAAAAAGACGACCCTGAACCGGCCCGGTTGAAAATCCGAGCCGGGCCCTGACCCGTGGTCAACTGGTTTGACCGGGCTGGGCCCGTGCCGGGTCGGCGGGCCGGTTGACCTGTGGCCATGTCTAGTGAGAACTGAGTCTAAGCTTCTTCTTCACATGCCTTTCCATGTTAGTTAATATCTGATTAATCTTTTCCATGCTTGCAGCAATCACCTGGTAGACGATGGGTGTATGGTCGCATCTACTTAATTCGGCCTATGGGCAGACGTCAAAGATGGGCTTAGGAATGATATATATACTCTGCCTTTCCTTCATTACCTGGATCTTCTTGTACAGGGAGATATTCAAGTTAGATGCTTTTCAGTTGACAATAAACAGCATCAGATTTACCATCTGGGGGCATTTATTTTATTTTATTTTGATGGTCGGATGTATACTGTACAAGGATCTGTAAAACCTTGTGGAAACACCATCACTCTAACGAATTGTTCTGTGTATGTGTACAAAGTAACGCCACAATGCACTCAATTTCACCCTCAACATAGGCATGGATTGAGTTGTGGTATAGGTCTTAAAAATAGTGTGCTGGTACTATGCTACTTGTTAATTGTCTCTCATTTTGGGTATTTATTTCATGATGAAATGCCTTGGCGGTCATGGAGCATGAAGAATTAACTTCATAAAATGAGGAAGCTTGAAAAGTGAATATATCATTAAACAAGATCAAGCTAACCTGCAGCACATGATAGGGAAAGCATCTCGTAAGCATTTACGTTTCTTACATGATGAACTGTTGTTCAATCTAGAGAAGATAATTCTAAAGTGAGAAATACTATCACAACTGTAAATGGACTGTGCCGTTAGAAGTGAAGCTCTGTAAACTTAATCAAGGAGTGTAATTGGTGTTCGTTCAAGAAGAAGGCAACTACAGAAAAATTCCAAGTGACTGGCACAAAATGCAAGAATAAAATGTTATCAGTTATCACAGCTAATTTTATCAGACTTTAGTTCAATTCACGGGAAGGGAAATACAGTCGATGAAAGCCAAAAGTTATCCAGATATTTGCTCAAGATAGAAACCTATGAATACAAAACAGCACAAAACAGCACAAAACAGCACAAGAACAATAATCGATAGGCGTACGTACAACTTGGTAATCAACTAGCATGTGAAGACATCTTGCAGCAAATTTAATCAAAGAAGGAAAAGAGAAAAGAAAATAACATACCCAAGCACACATGTGAGATAATTAAGTGCCAGAATCCATGGTTAAATTAAACGTGCACAAGAGTAGGAAATGTCATAGCTTATTTACAATCCAAACCAGAAACATAACAAACTCCAGAAAGAGTAACATTCAGAAGCTTCTTCATCTGGAGTTAACATCCAACAACTTCCAACCGCGCAAAGAAAGTCAAAACATGAAAATTATAAAGCGAAGGTGACAGTAAAAACATAGATAATAATAATAAATCCACTAAAATAAGAGTCATATATCTGGAAAATCCCTTCAGAGTGCCTCATCCTTCTGACTTCCCACATGAACAGCCACTGGCTCACGATAATTTCCCTCGAGCTTATCAATCCTGTCCCTCAATTCTTGAATGGTGTCAGTGAGGTGAGAAATTAGCAGAGCAGCTTTCCTCTTCTCCTCAGCTTCCAAATCACCAAGAGTCTTCAAGTCCCCAGTCTTCTGAAGATGCTCACCTAAAATACCTTGGGAAGTGTAGTCATCAGCTCGAGCAACCCAACCATACAACCCCTTTTCTGAACCAATGGCAGCAAAATAATCCTTCTTCCCATGATTATCAACCTCGAGTTCCTTCTCAAACATGACTGCCCTATAAAATCCAGACCAGTCTCTCTTAAATTCCACCACTGCAAATCCACTGCCAGACAGAGGACGAACTCTAACCGGGTCAAAGCCTCTCTTGGCCAGATCATTCTTCAGTCTAGAGTTACTCTCACCATCAACATTCGCTAGGATTCCCATCCAAGGCCACACAAACGAGTCATTTATAGCACCATTTTCCAGGGGGGCATCAAAAGTCAATTCACACAATTTTGAGGCCAACTCTTCCTGGCCAAGATCGTTTTTGATGTACCTGACAAGGCTCAAATGCTTCCCCTTGTGCTTGATATCTCTGTTCTGTGACCCCTTGCTAACATCTGAGGCGTGCTGAAGAAGGTCCTTGATTGGATAGACCAGCTTCTTCTTTCCAGGGCAGTATGGGCACCTGTACAAATCAGCTGATACCTTCATTTTCTGACTGCCATCCTTCAGCTGTTTATAGCACCGGCCAACATATTCATCCAACTCCGAGTCACTTATGTCAGTTTCATCTTCAGATGAGTAAGACATCTTTTCACGGATTCAGAACCTAAGGAGCAGTTTGTTATTTTTTTTTTTCAAAAAAGAAAAAATATGAGAGTAGCTGACACTATGACACTACTACTTCATGCTGTTTATTGCAAATCATGAGAAAAAACACATATACAACCATAATAATGCATCGCATTTAATTTTCAGTCAAAGAACTTGGCATGAGAAAAATTACATGACATCGAAAACCACATTTTGACATATGTTGGCTGTAGAAAATAAAAGATAACGGAAAAGGGAAAACATTTGACCATACAATTTTCTCAGCCACATGCAATTCTAGCCAACGCACTTCACCCACTTTCTTGTCACAAAACACTTTCTTTTGGCTGCAAACTGAAGATAAAGAGTGGAAAAGTTTCTCCCTATGTTACAGATCTTACATTTCTTTAAAGGTAATAACTTCAAGGAGACCAACATGCAAATGCCATAGGCAAGTCGGAACTGTACTCAACAAGAGAAAAACCATTCTCTGCGCAACATCTCAAAACGCATCCCAAGGAAATAACCAGAGATTCTCTATGAAACAAACGACCACAAACTAAAATGAGCAGATACAAAATTTGGCCACAGAAGCTTGACATCGCATATGTGTGAAACTTATCGATTGACTTATTTTCTTAAAGAAGATTACGAAACAATCAAACACACAAAAGAAGAAGAGTGAAAATTGACATTGGATATAAACAAGCAACTGCATAATAAATAACAAGTCCAACCTCAGGAGAGCTGGGGATGCGAATTTACTCAGTTGTGGGTAAGAATATCAGCTGCAGCAGAGTGGTTTGGAGTTTTATTTAGGGTTTTAACTTCCAAGTCCGTGCCAGGCAAAGAAGTGGAGGGGCACGCGAGGATTTTGAAGGAAAATTTAGAATATATAAGTCAAATTTTGTCTGGCAAAAAGACATTTTAACATGATGAATGTGAAATAGAGTATTATTTTAACATTATTTCATTTGATTATTGTGCATTTTCCCAATAAAACCCCAAACCATCTTTCACTTTCAAGATTAGTCTTTAATTTTATTTATTTTTTATTTTTTTACTGCACTCTCTAATTGTATAATTTTTTGGGCATTTTTTAGACTCTCCTTATCGATGACCCAATGCTATAGGTCACCAACAAAAAGACAGAAAAAAAAATAAATAAATAGAAAAGATAAAATTGTAAAACTTCATGCGACCCATGTCACATTGTGACCTTGGGTCACATGTCACATTCCTATTGGTCACAATTAATTTTGTGATAAGTTAAAAGATAACTAAATTATTAGTGTTAATTTATATTAAACTAACTAACAAAAAAAAATCAAAATTCGTATTTTTTCATTCTCTATAAATAGATATCACATTTGACAGGTTTTGAAACACAATTGCAGTTTCTTTTTTTTACTCTTTTTTTAATTATACCTTATTAATTTTATCATCTCTTTCATTTTCTTCTAATTTCCGACAAATACCATATGGTTCGTAATTTTTTTTATTTGTATGGCAAAATGTTATTTTATTAAATCAGTACGAATTTATTATATATTTTTTTATTAATTTATCACAACTAAGACAATAACAAAAAATTAATTGTAGATAATATTTAAGTAAAAAAATAAAAATAAAATAAATATTATATTGGATTGGTGATAAAGATATATAGGTTGTAAAGGTTGGGTTGTATAGGAGGAAGAGATAGAAATAATTTTTTATTATTGGGTTGGGTTGGGTTGAGTTGGGGATAAATATAGTCTTAGTCCTTATGTCTTTTATTTTGGGAAATTTACATATATAGACTCTATGTAAGAGATATTTACAAATATACGTACAATAAATACTTTTATCAAAAGGGGTGAATGTGATTATTTCATATCTACGATACTACTTTCTTTCTCCTGCTGAACAGTTTCTCTCTCCATATATTGAACATGCAATCAATTTTGGCGGAACTTATGCAAATAAAATGGGAATTCGAAAAAAAAAATTACCAAATATAATACCTACAATTCAGGGTTTCACGAATTCAAATTTTCAAACGGGATTTTTTGTTCATTAACCTCGTTCAGCCGAAAAAAAAAAATCATCCATCTAGTTGGAAAGAAAAAGCACTGATCGGGTTGAGTAAAGTAAAAAATTATTGTTTGTGAAANATATATATATATATATATATATATATATATATATATATATATTACATCACATAAACATGTCCTCACAGATTCAAAACACTGAGACATTTGACTCTTGTATATAGATAGACAGAAAATATACATTAGACACACAAATATGATAGAATCAGACAACGATGCAAATAACTGTTACATAGAGTATAGTTAGGGTAAATATATGCATTAGGTAAACGAATATGATTGCAAAATCCAGAAAACACGTGTAGTTATACATAAGATGATCAACATATAAACAATCCTGAACCAAGATAAACATAATACACTTTGACATTCAAAATAGAGATTCTAAAAAATATGACATATTGAAATAACATTAAGTTAAATTTACATAAACGAGATATAAACAACCTAAGTTACATACATGTGTCCGAGCCCATCTCATTGTCGTCATTTGAGATGTTTGCACCCACTTAACTTGAATGTTCTTCTTCATCTTCATCAAGTATGAAATCCGAATAGGACTCTTGTTGATTCTTTGGAGAATCGACAATCTTTGTCTTACCCTTGTTGTCTCTGACTCTCGTCTTCTTCCTGTCATCGAAATTTTTTTTTTTGTTCGAACACAAAATCGTTGTCTCCATCGGAGTTAACTTCAGCCATCTTGGGGTCGGTTCCTTGAAACCTCTTGGAGCTTCAATTTTCTGAAATTGAAGTTTCTTTTGGACGATCTTACTTGGATGCTTAAAATTGAGATGTTCGACGAGATCAAGAGCGAGTTAATCTTGCTTCGTCTTCACTATTCACGGATTGACCACATTTTTTCTTCGATTGGTCATTGAAAATTTCAGGACTGGGAAGAGGTTATTTCTGTGTTTAGAGAAGATAAGTTTCTTTTTTTGGTTTCTTGTGAAGAAGATACACGGGAGCTGAGGACATGGAGAGAGAAAAGCATTTTTTTTTTCTTGATTTAGGGTAAGGAAGGAAGAGGAAATATCACTCTTTCCGATAACCATCATAAAGTAGTGGGTAGTTGTAACCTTTACAAAAACTAAAGCTTCCCTTATTTAAATAAAAAGGTTGGTTATGTGGAAGGCCAAACCAATCGCATATCTCGAGCAGATCGGGGGAGAGAGGAAAATGGACGCCCATGTCAAATTGGATAGGAAAAAAGGTATAATAGTCATCGGAGGGAGGACAGTCGAACTTATCATTGTCGTCTGGGCGGACAAAAGCCCAACCAAAAGGATGACCGACGTCTTTCTCGTGCAACCACTTGATATTGTGGGAATTAGAGCGAGATTTCTTTATTTTGTGGCGCCGACCATGACGACCGGTCGAAGGATTGGTTTTGGGAATTTTAGAGGAAGATGATAGGGTCGAAGCTTTAATTTTGGTCGTTGTGGTAGATGGGTGAGGAAAAGAAGACTCGAGTTGAGCCTGGGCAGGGAAAGTAGGTCGAATCGTGGTGAGCGGAGTAACCTGGAGGATTTTCTGGACGGAATCGTTAGGGGAATGAGGAGAAAGTTGAGTAGTCGAGGACGAAGAAGGAGAGGTCATGTCTTTGCCGGAAAAGTGATCGTTTTCACTCGAGGTGGCGGAATCTGAAAAGAAAAAAAAGGAGAAAATACCACAAGGGAGAATTTTTTGGGGATTTCGAGTGTGAAGAAATAAGAAAAAGAGAGAGGGAATTTTTTCGCCGGCGTATTGGGCGGTATTTTGAAGGAGAATAGAAAAATAGAAAACCAGAAGAGTTCAAATAAAATACAAATTGAAAAGCGGGGAAAGTTAGAAAACCTACTCATTTTCGGAGATCGGAGTAGTCACCGGAAAAGCGTGATAAATGCAGAGAAACTGGTGGTAGCAGAGCGCGATGGAAAGCATGAAACTTGGAGATTTAGGGCAAGTGTGAGGAAAATTTGCGAAGATGGGAGATTATGCAAAGTCTCAGTTGGGGGTATTTATAGAAGGAGAAGGAGGCAAGTTGAAAGGTTTGAGGGATAACTATTTGATTAAAAGCAGGATTTAACGACTCTCTTGAAGGGGTACGTTTAATGGGTGTGAAACAAGAGGAGGCGCGAGTCACGAAGTAATGATTGACGCACCCAACAGGCGTGACAAGTGGCAGCCGTAGAGTCTGAACGCCTAAAATGGCGACTGAGCGAGGAGGTAACCGAAAATAGAAAGAGATATGACAGGTAATCGAGGAGTAGCGAAAAACGATGGCAGTAAGGAATAAACCGGCCGCATGAGCTAGTCTAACCAGCTAATTGAGCGAACCAACCTAAATGTTCTGGTCAAGCAGATACGGAAAGGATGATCGTGGTCGAACATCATGAGAACAAGAGTCTGTTGACATGAAGATAGCTCGAAGAAGGATTTTGGTGCAGAGAGAATAGGTCGATCCCAGACCCGTGGAGGGTCTGGTAGAAGTTCGACCCGTCGTACAACTGGTCGTTCGATTGACCACTTCCCAGACTTGGAGCAATCTGTGAACTGACCTAGGATTGGTCGAACGCTAGGGCCTTCGAGGAGATCTAAGAGGAATCAAGCCCCTATGTGCGGAAGACACGTGGCGTGGCCTGATTGGTCCATACTGAGTCGAAACGCTCATTTCATATAAAAATGTATTTACTATAAATATAAATATCGATATGTGTACCATCAAGTTTTTAAAAACTAGAATCCTAATACTCTCAAACTTTTTTCTTTTTTTATTTTTTTATTTTTATAAAAGTTAAATTTCAGGTATTTATAATATAACTTCAATATTTATAAGTTGTGGAAAAGTAAGTTTTTTGGTTGAAAAATTTATTTAAATTGAACTTTTACAACACATTCAATAATATTTTTATTGATGAGAGTGTACCAATTGAACAATTTTTAAGAAAAAAATAAATAAAGTTAAAAATATGTGATTACACAAAAAAAAGTAAGAAATCAACATTAGAAAATGTAACAATCCAACTAAATACTCAATTTTATATCACTAAATCGATTTACAATTAAGAGTCCGAAAGAGTAAATCATTATAAATATTTTTAAAAACTTATCTAGAAATATAAAATATAAAGATTGCTAGTATATTTTTCAACAAATAAATAATATTATTAATTTAAATTAAAATAGCATAGAAAATAAATTTAATTATTGTATATATTTTTTGTATATGTGTACATATTTATAGTATTTCTTTATATATTTATATATATATAGATTTTAAAAAAAAATGAGGGGGGCCCACGGGCCCCCTTACCCTTATATTGCTCCGTCTATGCTCGGCGTTCTACCGGAAGGAAGGAATTCGAGCAGACCATTTTTAGCCGATTAGAACGTTTTGACGTACCATATGGGATCAGTTCTCTTATTGAGTATTATATTAATGATCCATCATATTCCTTCTGGCATATCTTCAATTTAAATTTTGTTTACAAGTAAAATCATCAACGATAAAAGGTGGGAGCAATCGTAATTCTCATTATATAATCTTGTATTGTGGATAATATATGCTTCTATGGTTTAACAAATTGAACTAATGCAAGGTGCTTGTCACTGGGTTTATTTATTTTTTGTTGAGTTTGACCCAAAGCACATCTTTATGTATTTATTTACTTCCTCATGTGGAAAAAAGAGTGAGATTTTATGCTAAGTTTTAGTTAAACCGCAGGTGTTTCTTGGTCAGGCATAAGTTTGTTGAGTTTTAAGACATAGCTTAACAATAATTAGTTGCAAATTTGTTCGGACATTTTACAAACCTCCGTACATATCGGATTCCACTGGTAAGAAAAGAAAAGAAAATTGAAAACCACATTATCCGAAATAATAAAAAACTGAAAACAAAGCGTACCCCACAAATACTACCATTATTTTGTTATTAAATGAAAAAAAAAAATAAAAAAATTGGGGACACGGAATTATCGCAAAATTTAAAGAAAATTCCCTCGCTTGGTGACCCAACGTTTTTCTCGATGGTGCAAACGAGGAAAGACCACATGATTCCCATCTCACTTCCACGTGGCGGCATCCTGGATCGCTTATGTCCCATAGAAGAACAGGTCTTCAGGCAGTTACTTTCTATAGCCGGTGTTTATTGGGCATCCACCGAAGGCCCAGGTGACATGGGTCAATTGGTATAAGAGTTGGGGTTTAAGCAGATGTAATGAGGGTGGTTTTTTGTTTTTTGTTTTTCCTTTATTAACAGGGTTTTGGCTATCTTTTTCACAAGAAAAACAAAGGGGCAGAACAATGGAAGTTGAATTATGATGGGTTTCCTTTTTCTATTTCCATTTCTTTCTTGTCGGGATTTTTAGATTAGATTTGTTTCATGAGAATGTAGATGGTTTAGAGGATTTAGGTTGTGGAAAGATTTAAGCTCTTTTTAGAAAGAAGAATAAAATCTGGTTTTTACTGCTAAATTCTGGTGGGAATTTGTTGCTTGGACGAAATCATGCTTGGCTTGAAGCAAATTTATGGTGGCTTGAAAAGAAGTTGGCTCTTTGAAGGTGAGATGATCAAATATGGGATCCGTTGCAGTTTGGTAAAGTTTTGGTCTTTGGTGCAAAATCTGTGATAATCATCGCTAATGTTGATGGAAAATTTGGAAAACTTCTCTTTGATGTGAAAAAATGGCGCTTTTAGTTTCGAAATTCCTTGGTTGTATTTTCTTTTTCAGTTTGTCAGAAACCAAACAGGGGCTGTCTTTTTTCAAAATTTCGCCCATTTGTTTAGTATGTGCATTTATCTTATACAAACTTGCTTGAAATTTGCGTCTGATCTGGGATTTCGCCATGCAAAGTATTTTTGTGCTTTCCAGAAAGATTCTGATCTGCCGATTAAAAGTTACTCCTATTATCTTTTCGGTATTTGTTCCATAGATTTGAGATCATGTACATGCAACTGCCTCAAATACAAATCCCCGGTGGTAGTTTTTTTTTTTCTTTTTCTTTTTTTCTTTTCTTTGAAAGTAGTGACGCATGAAATAATAGTGTTCCTGTTGTTACAAATGCTTTTAAATTTCCTTGCAATGGTGGGATTTTTGAGGTTTCTTTTCCTACGCCTTGTCTTCAAAGCTTTTCCATTGGTATGACCTTTCTTCATGCTTTCAAATTCCTTTTTTGTCGAGAACAGTAAATGTTTGGAGCGGAGGGTCATAAATTTAGTCACATTTTCAATCTATCTTTCTGAGTTTTAAAAATGAATGTCCACATAAAACTCTTCATCTATGGCTAATACTGCTTGTTTTAATCTGATAGGATCGTTATGTTTAATACTGCTTGATTGAATCTATTGTTGGTTCCAAGATCATTTTTTGCTTTTTCACCTTGTTATGGGAAAATCTAAATTGTTCTCCTGTAATCAACTAAATTACTCCAAGAAGTGTGACAAGCCATTATTTATGTGACTTAGTTTCACAAAATTTGTTTATTTCTGATTGTCAATGGAAGTCAAAACTCGATGGTTGTTGGATGTGCTTAGAATTCATTGTATTGGGCTCATTGTATTCGCAGGTATGCTATAATTGGTCGTTCTATCGTTGGGATATTGCTGATTTCGACTGAACTCATTGTATTGATTCTGGGCATGGTTCTATGATATGGCCTTACAGAAGAGATTAGACTATGGATTTCATGGCTATCAATTGCCCCCCACACCACGAGCCGCCAGATCAGTCAGGGTAATCAATGATATCAATTGCTGTTATATTTCTGGCCAGTGAATATGAAATTCAAAAANTATTGATTTATCTCATTGACTTCTTGTAGAGGCGGGGCTTATTTAAGAGGAAAGCAGATGACCAGCAAATGTGCGCATTTGACTTGTTGGCAACTGTAGCTGGGAAGTTACTGTTGGATGGGGAAAATTGTCCTCCACCAGCGAGCTCGTCTCCTGCAAAGGAGCGTGCACCTGTAGTAGAAGATAGTAATACTATTACAAAACAAGAAAAGGACGAAGATAAGGCATTAGAAGAAAAAGCTACCGATCGAGATTCCTATGAAAGGAATTTTCTTCTTACAGAACTTGTCTCGGAGGTCCCCAATCCAAATAACCTTGCGTGTGCTCAAAATGGTGTTAAAACTTCAGATTGCGTGGGCCCCACGGCACATTTGGTCAACGATGATTGTAAGCTCCGTCTTGGAATATTTACTCCAGTGGACGTTGAGTCGTCAGGCTTTAGGCTTTCTAGTAATTGTGTGGCCGAGGATGAGAGTAAGAAGAAGGTAAAAATAGAGTCAGTGAATGATAGAAATTTGTCAATAATAAGTGAGAAGGCTTTTCCGTATAGTTCAGGACACGTAGAGAATTCGGATAAAAAATCGTCTGCACTAATTTGTTCGGTTAATAATGTAAAGTTTCCATTTCCAAAGGGCCAGTCTCCTTGTGGTTCTTTCCCTGTTCATCGGGATACTGTAAAGTTAGTTAGTAGGGATGATGACGAAAACTCTTGTGAGTGCACTGAGCCTAGCACTAGAAACAAGGCTATTCAGCCATCACAGTGTTTGGGAGATGGTAGGTTTAGGAAGTTGCTACCGGCTAAGCATTGCAGAATAACTTCAAATGGGGACGAAGAACACTATACTGGTGGTGAGTAGCTACATTAACTTATGTTCATAACTTGTGGTCGTATGGCTTATTTGAGTTTCATGTTTATCTTGTTTTTCAATAACAGAAAGTAGCAGTTGTCCCTCGAAAGATAGTGGTGTCAAGTGGCAAAGGTCTCTGAGGGATTATCCTTTCAAAAAGAGAAAGCTCTATGGCTGTGGCTCTGTGCCTAATTCTGATGAAGGCATTATTAACACTGATCAAACATGTCAGGTGCCTGAAAGTGGCACCATTGGAGATGGACTCGTTTCTTCTGGTCTTAATCAACCAGGAGGTAACTTTAAATACCACTCTAGAACTTTGACCAATTTTTTAGATTTCATAAAGTTGACACAAAATGCAGGGACCCCACCGCCGATTTCTGTACCTGGTGGACATATGTCCTTACATTCCCGAAATTCAAAAGGTATGATAAGATATGGAGTACCTTTTTTGTGTAATAATTCCTCATACTTTATTCTTTTTCTTCTTTCTATTGGGGTTGAATTTCTTAAATTTTTCGCAGTGAAACTTAAGATCAAGTCTTTCAGGGTTCCCGAATTACTTGTTGAGATCCCAGAAACTGCCACGGTTGGTTCTTTGAAGGTAAATTTGATTGAGAGAATTGTTTCAACTATAGCTTGCGACCACGTTATTGATGGCTTAAATAAACATTGTCCAGAGAAGAGTATTGGAAGCAGTGAATTCTGTTCTTGGAGGTGGACTGCGTGTCGGGGTGCTTCTTCAGGGTAAGAGAATTAGAGACGACAATAAAACTTTAGCACAAACCGGAATTTCTCTTGATAAAAAGATGGACTTGCTGGGGTTTAGTCTCGAGCCCACCTCCAATCCAGCCCCTATTCGACTTTATCCCGAAGATCGACCAAACGAAATGCTGTGTCAGAGTCCCCAACCTCTCCGAAGGTAATCTCCATTTACAAAACTTTAATTCATAATAACATATTAAATAGTATTTTCCTTTTTTGTTTGGTACCAGGTACCCTCCTACTCCTAGGCCAACTCAAAGTAGTGGTGGGCAGCAGCATCGGTTAAATGGTACTATTAATTTTAACCATTTCATGGAGAGTGATCACAATTCGGGTCCTTCGAAAACCAGTTGCGAGTCGAAAGCACTCGTCCCTCTTACTGTACCCAGCTCAATAAAGCAAGATGCGCTGGCTGTGGTGCCTTTGCGCAAGTCAAAACGCTCCGAATCGGCTCAGCGCCGTATCCGTAGACCCTTTACTGTTGCCGAAGTCGAAGCTCTCGTCCAGGCTGTCGAGAAGCTCGGCACCGGAAGGTAATATAATTTGANAAAAAAAAAAAAAAAAAAACGAGTTTCGGTTTTGTTTAATTTTTGTTCACACCACTACTTTTTAATAGCGCAGATGGCGTGATGTCAAGCTGAGAGCCTTTGACAGTGCAAAGCATAGGACTTACGTGGATTTGAAGGTAATGTCTGCATTCTGCTACAATAGGATTAGGGTATTTAGTTATTTACACTCAGTTTTATACTTACTTTTGTTGGTGTTTTAACAGGATAAGTGGAAAACCTTGGTTCACACAGCAAGAATATCCCCACAGCAGAGAAGGGGGGAGCCCGTGCCTCAGGAACTATTGGACCGAGTGTTGACGGCTCATGCTTATTGGTCACAGCAGCAGGCCAAGCAGCAGCTCAAGTCTCAGCCCGACACTTGCCTTCTCCTCTGAGAATTTTTAAAGTTTATCATTTACTACCAGTATTGTAAAAAGATACAAGTTTAGTTTGTCAGGAAAATAGTATATTAGTTTATATAAGATTTTATGGGAAGATAATAGATATAGCACTTGTAAATGGGTGAAAGAAGGAGCTTTTTCCAACTTGTTCATTTTTTTCGCGGGGAAGCTTTTTTCTTACAGGGATTGCTTTTGCTTTTAGTTTTACTGTATTTTTGTCTAGGATGGGGGCGTTATCACTTCACTTTGTTGTGAATTTGACTGTAATAAGCTCATTGTTTTGTTGTCGATGATGGGACTCAATTTTGAGATTTTTGGGCTTCAATTTTTAATTCAATAGCAGTTCCAGCTGATATTGATTCCCATTTTTAACCTTTCTTCCAAATTATCAAGCCTCCATCAATTGCAATATATCTCATTACAACTTGAAAAAAAAAGAAAATAAAAATAATTAAAATTTACATCTAAGTAACTAAAATGTACATTAACAATTTTCAAAAGTTCTCATCGATATATAAGTAACTAAATACATCATTTATTGAGAATTTTCTTTCTCCTTCTACTTTAATAGATTTTTGTAATTGTTTGGGTGTTCGTGATTTTTTTTTCACTAGATTTCTCATATTATTTGGATGTTTAGGCAACTTTAAACCTTTTTTTTTTTCACTAGATTTCTCAAATTGTTTGAATGTTTGTTTAAAAATTTTGTTCACTAAATTTCTCAAATTGTTTGGATGTTTCTACAACTTTGCAATATTGTTTTAAGAGATTATGTGATGCACTAAGATGTATGACAGTATATCTAAGTAGTTGCCTATATACATTTAAAATTGTAGAAAAATAGTTAGTAAAATTAGTTGTTAAGTTATACTATATTAATTGGAATGACATTTATACAGTAAAAAATATGTCATATATTACCTCAATTATAATTTTTAAAAATTAAATATTATTTATATGGGTTTGGATAAAAAAAAGTATCACAATTCTTGTTTTTTTTTTCTTTGAAATGGTGAGATGTTGAGAGAGTTCTCTTTATGTGTTATTGTAATAATGAATAGGGGCAACTAAGACTTTTTGTTTTTTTATCTTAAACCGCTGAACCAAAACGCTGGTAAAAACAGGGTTTTCCACTTTGGCGGATTGCGCAAAAAATGCTACCAAACATTGTTTTCAGCTTATTGGTAAAGAGCTGAAAAAGCTCCAAAACGCCATTAAACAAACATAGCCTTTAGATATCGCTATATATAACATCGTTGAACTTCTGATTCTAATTTTTTAGCCCAACAATATTAGAATTCAACACAAGTATATTTGAACTTAAAGTAGCTCATTTTGATATATTTTCATATGCACTTTTTTGTCGAGACATTTTCTAGAAATACTTCTTCATAATCTGACATATAAAATAAATTATAATGTATAATATGCTTTATCTAATATATCAGATTTTAAAGAGTCGTACAACTTAAGTTATCAATCACCACACATATTATATATACAATATTAGTCTTTCTGATAATTAAGGAACAATAATTAATTAACTACAAAAATGCTAAAGGTATCAATTGTTATGAACCACACAAATAATATCTGTATATGTGAACGACTATTTTGCCCTCGATGGAATTGCATTATTAGGATTGTGCCATCAGAAGTTTTCCTATAAATAGGAGCTTCAGTTATAATGAAAATCGAACCCAGAGAATACATTCTCTCTATTCTCTCTCTTTATCTCTAGTTTTATAACACGTTATCAGCACGAGTCTCTGTCCCTCTAGAGCTAGGTTTGTAATATGACGAGAGTACGCTCTACGGTTGCATCTTATAGATGATCTTCCGCATCAGAAATCTAAGTGTTGCAAATCGTTATTTTCTCCAAGAAATTTTTCCTATCACTCATGGGGAACTTTTGAATTTTCATGCTCTTCATTTAGCCATTTCAATTACTTCTTCAACACATAATATGCTTCAACTGACACCTACCATAATCAAGAACCATAAAAGAGAAGTACTATATTTTCCCAAAAATGAAAATCAAAAGGTGAGGAAGGAAATGAAAAGGAAGAGAAAAAAAAAATGAAAAGTGAGTGTAGAAATAAAAAGAGCAGAGAAGAAAAACTCCCACTATTTGAGTAGCCAAAATTCTCTGTGAAAATCAAAAGACAAATATTCAATATTTATTGTTCATAGCTCTACTATAACCTCTTCTTTCGAGCGGCATGAAGATGAGAAGCTTGGAATGAAGTCAGGAGAAAGCAAATATTGCTTCAGGTATAAAGATATTGGTACGTCATATAATCAATTCTCAAACGTGTTGACTCTGAAAGTTTTCTTAACCTTTAGAATTATACATTATCAGTTCTATCTTCATTCTCTACATATGTAGAGAAAATACATGCATTAACACATGGGATATGTTTTATTTTTGTTTGCATGCAACATTTAGAAAAAGACATGATGACAAATAATAAATGTCATTTAATGTGCTACAGTGGTAGGATAAATTATTGATAGACAAAACATGTGGTGTGGACATATAAAAAGGAAAAATAAAAGCAAACCTCTTTTAAGAATTTCAAATTTTAAGGTTTATTTTGTGAGTTCTCCTCTGTGGGATATTTTCTCTTTCTAGAGGCGAAAGTTCCAGGTGTTGGATCTCCACTTTCTTTGATTCTGAATTTGCTTTTTCCTTCTTGTTTAATTTGAGTCTAGATCTCCTTGTTAGGTAATATCTTGGATTAGGTTTCACCAGTGTCTTTTTCCGTTTCTCTGTTTTCATTCTTTTGGGTTGGTATGTCTCGTGTGTTTAGTCCTGTTCTGTCCTGCGATTTATGTATGCTTGTGTTGATAAACGGATTTAATCAACGTAATTAAAGTAAAAATCACGATAAAGATTGCAGAAATTGAGATTTCGATTGAAATTCTTGAAGTCGGTTACAGAATAAGAAGTCAGTTTTTCAATATTTAACAAGTCGGTCCACAAAGAAGAAACCGAGTTCAATATATGTGTTTTTTATCAGATTTGCCGAATCCTCCTATTGTTTTCGAAGCTGCTATTTATAGTTATGCTTGGCACACTTCCCTAGACAAATCATTTCCGTTTTAATGAAGATTTGACATTTTAGGGGCGGCGATGACGTAGATGAACGTTTTAGGTAATGATTAGCATGGGCGCGCCTCTATCTGTGTGACGAGTGTCACATCTGTCGGATCGAAGTCGATTCGTCTTGCGATGTCGGTATTTTGATAAACTTTCAGCATTCTACGACTTCCTGATAAATTATTCTTCAACCGAGTTGGTCTTTTCAAGGTTTCGACGACTTGTGTTGACGACTTTCAAAGATTTGCGGTACCATCTACAAGTACCGAGATGAGATTACCGAGGTGCCATATATTCTGCTTTACATCGTCCAAGATCCAATTTGCGGGTTAGACTTCACGATTTCTTTAATCTAATCTTAATTTCAAGATATTCTATCTTGGTATCAACATAGAGGCCCCTGGCATTAAGAAGTATGCAGATTATGCGTACTTTTTGATGACACTTTCCATCCAATCACTTTTTGTTTCCGAGCTGATTTAAGGATGTCTCACGCAAGTTTATACCGAGTTATTTCTCTTAGACAGGAATCGTATCTTTTTGCTCCTTTACCAAAGTCGTTTCATACTGTGAGAAGTTTATTGAGCGGTTTTTCGAGAGGTCACGAACGTGTTGTCCCCTATACTCTTCTCAATGGGCACGTACCGAAATTTCCGGATATTAATATTGACGATTATGGGACACGCGTACGTACGAGATTATATCTGAGCGTTACGTCACAGTAATGGGGCACTTCCTTCAAGCGACGCGTCACTTAATCACGCGCCTCTCCATCTTCAACGGTTAGAAAATTTCGAGCATATATATACAGATAAGTTCATGGTTTCTCTTCACTAAATCTTCATTCAAGCAACTGCTCGTCTCTCTAACCATCTTTTGCATATTTTGCCTCTCCTCTTTCATCTTCTTCATCATACTTCAGCAAGTCCCGAATCCTTTGAAAGTTTATATCACTGTTCGGTAAGCCCTAATTTCTTCTTTTCACTTTATAATTTCTTTGTGTCGTTTTTCTGAGTTTTAATTATGGCGGTGAGTGGTGAGAACGTCGGTCCGGGCAGCAGTAGCCGAACTGTGTCGGATATGAGGTTGGATGAGGAGTTGATGGAGTTGATGGGGGATTATTACCGGTGGGACCCCGTTTTTGTGGAACGTCTAGACATTCGCAAACGTAATATTGAAGGAGATGCCGAGGTGGAACGGGATGTTCCTGTGAGGTCGGGTTATTGGAATCGTCCTACCCGTCAATGGCCCGACGAAGATGTTCCGTTTTTGGGAGAGCCCAACACTATGACCGACGCCGATGTTGTTCTCCTTCGTGATTTGGTGCGAATCCCTGCCTCGGTGAGAATCTTCGCTCCTTATCCAGGAGAAAGGATTCATTGTCCTCCTCCAGGTTGCGTAGGGATTTTTGCCGAAAGTTTGAGGTCGGGTTTGAGATTCCCTCTGGACAACGTCATAACCGACTACTTACGTGATTGGGGTCTCAGTCTTAGTCAAATCACCCCCAACAGTTGGAAGAAGATTATAGGAATTATGGTTCTCTTGGCGCAAAAGAAAGTCCCTTTCCCCACCATTGACGAGATGAGAAGTATTCTGCTCTTTAAGAGGAGTAGGGAACGGGATGGAGTTCCCCCAACAGGTTGTTTTTTCTGTGCGGCGAGGCCGCAGTACGAATTGAAGATAGGACAGTTGATTACTGGGATACCCGAAACCCTTCATGGTTTCCAAGACGAATGGTTGTGGGTTGGTGGGGATTGGCAATCTTCCGACTTCCGACTTGAGGCCCCAATTGATGGGATGACTGTCCCAACCCGAGTTGTCTCTTCTTTCCGTAAGTTCCTTTCTTTTACTCAGAATCTCCTGACGAGTTGTTTTTCTTTCGCTAACAGGTCGGACCTTTTCGTATTTGTAGCAAAAAGAAAAAAGGAACCACGATTAAGCGGGGAGTTTAGAGAAAAACTTGAGGAAATCGCGAAGCTCAGTGTTGCGGAACGCAAGTGGAATCTGCTGACAAAGAACTCTAAGCTTGCTGACGCGAAACTCGGACCCAAAAAGGCAATCCCCGACTTTGAACCTGGTGAGTTCCTACAGTATCAACTTAATTCATGACTTTGAACTAGATGAATTTATCAAATATTGATATGGCTTCGGTTATTTGCTTTCTTCCTTCAGTTTATTATCCGTTGTTAGGATTTTTCGGATTCCAATCGGTTCGAGAAGCAAAAGATTATCGCCGTAGA